GAGGCAGAACACGCTGGGGGAGGCAGAACACACTGGGGGTTAACACGCTGGGGGAGGCAGAACACACTGGGGTTAACACGCTGGGGGAGGCAGAACACACTGGGGGAGGCAGAACACGCTGGGGGAGGCAGAACACACTGGGTGTTAACACGCTGGGGGAGGCAGAAACACACTGGGGTTAACACGCTGGGGGAGGCAGAACACACTGGGGTTAACACGCTGGGGGAGGCAGAACACACTGGGGTTAACACGCTGGGGGAGGCCAGAACACACTGGGGTTAACACGCTGGGGGAGGCAGAACACACTGGGGTTACCACGCTGGGGGAGGCAGAACACACTGGGGTTACCACGCTGGGGGAGGCAGAACACACTGGGGTTAACACGCTGGGGGAGGCAGAACACACTGGGGTTAACACGCTGGGGGGCAGAACACACTGGGGTTAACACGCTGGGGGAGGCAGAACACACTGGGGTTACACGCTGGGGAGGCAGAACACACTGGGGTTAACACGCTGGGGGAGGCAGAACACACTGGGGTTAACACGCTGGGGGAGGCAGAACACACTGGGGTTAACACGCTGGGGGAGGAAGAACACACTGGGGTTAACACGCTGGGGGAGGCAGAACACACTGGGGGAGGCAGAACACGCTGGGGGAGGCAGAACACACTGGGGGAGGCAGAACACACTGGGGGAGGCAGAACACCACTGGGGTTAACACGCTGGGGAGGCAGAACACACTGGGGTTACACGCTGGGGGAGGCAGAACAACACTGGGGTTAACACGCTGGGGGAGGCAGAACACACTGGGGTTAACACGCTGGGGGAGGCAGAACACACTGGGGTTAACACGCTGGGGGAGGCAGAACACACTGGGGGAGGCAGAACACGCTGGGGGAGGCAGAACACACTGGGGTTAACACGCTGGGGGAGGCAGAACACACTGGGGTTAACACGCTGGGGGAGGCAGAACACACTGGGGGAGGCAGAACACACTGGGGTTAACACGCTGGGGGAGGCAGAACACACTGGGGGAGGCAGAACACACTGGGGTTAACACGCTGGGGGAGGCAGAACACACTGGGGTTAACACGCTGGGGGAGGCAGAACACACTGGGGGAGGCAGAACACGCTGGGGGAGGCAGAACACACTGGGGTTAACACGCTGGGGGAGGCAGAACACACTGGGGGAGGCAGAACACGCTGGGGGAGGCAGAACACACTGGGGGAGGCAGAACACGCTGGGGGAGGCAGAACACACTGGGGTTAACACGCTGGGGGAGGCAGAACACACTGGGGTTAACACGCTGGGGGAGGCAGAACACACTGGGGTTAACACGCTGGGGGAGGCAGAACACACTGGGGGAGGCAGAACACGCTGGGGGAGGCAGAACACACTGGGGTTAACACGCTGGGGGAGGCAGAACACACTGGGGTTACCACGCTGGGGAGGCAGAACACACTGGGGTTAACACGCTGGGGGAGGCAGAACACACTGGGGTTAACACGCTGGGGGATGGCAGAACACACTGGGGTTAACACGCTGGGGGAGGCAGAAACACACTGGGGTTAACACGCTGGGGGAGGCAGAACCCACTGGGGTTAACACGCTGGGGGAGGCACAACACACTGGGGTTAACACGCTGGGGGAGGCAGAACACACTGGGGTTAACACGCTGGGGGAGGCAGAACACACTGGGGTTAACACGCTGGGGGAGGCAGAACACACTGGGGTTAACACGCTGGGGGAGGCAGAACACACTGGGGTTAACACGCTGGGGGAGGCAGAACACACTGGGGGAGGCAGAACACGCTGGGGGAGGCAGAACACACTGGGGTTAACACGCTGGGGGAGGCAGAACACACTGGGGTTAACACACTAACACACACACGCATGCGCAGGCATGGACGACGCACATAAGCATGTACACACACACACACACACACACACACACACACACTTGTTGATGTGACAAACGGGGACTTCAGAAAAAACAGCAACATTTGGACACCCCATTCTAAACATCCTACTGGCCACACGCATATTTCAGATTTACGGGATGCAGGTAACCAAGCGGTTAGAGCGTTAGGCCAGTAACCGAGAGGTCGCTTGTTCGAATCCCCAAGTCAACAAAGTGCAAAATCTGTCAATGTGCCATTGAGCAAGGCACTTCACCCTAATCGCTCCAGGGTTGCCGTTGATAACGGTAGACCGTGGCCGTGACCCCACTCTCCGAGGTTGTCTCAGGGAGAGTTGGGATATGCAACAAAAAACAAAAACACTTCCAATTAACGTATTAATACACATGTGTGAAATAGGACAAATATAAGCTCCCACCTAATAATGACTATTATATGCACACAGTGGCTTCAGTACCTGTAGCAGAGTGGGTACTCCTCTCCATCAGGTAGATGGGGTAGTTCTGGGGGTGTGATGAAGACCGTGTGCTCGCTGCGCTGTGATTCGTCGATCTCTATCAGCCTGGTCTCATCTGGCTTATCGCTGTCCACCTGAGGGGAGGGACATGAAAACGTTCACGTGCTGGAAGGGAACTAGGCCTCAGTGTTGTATTAACAGCCTACCAAACAATGCAGTTTATCCACTAGTCAGTTCCTATACTAGGAGATAGTCCTTCACTGTGTGTGTAGCTAGTCCTTATACTATGAGATAGTCCTTCACTGTGTGTGTGTGTAGCTAGTCCTTATACTAGGAGATAGTTTTTCACTGTGTGTGTGTGTAGCTAGTCCTTATACTAGGAGATAGTCCTTCACTGTGTTTGTGTAGATAGTCCTTCACTGTTTGTGTAGCTAGTCCTTATACTAGGAGATAGTCCTTCACTGTGTGTGTGTGTGTGTGTGTGTGTTTGTGTGTAGCTAGTCCTTATACTAGGAGATAGTCCTTCACTGTGTGTGTAGCTAGTCCTTATACTAGGAGATAGTCCTTCACTGTGTTTGTGTGTAGCTAGTCCTTATACTAGGAGATAGTTTTTCACTGTGTGTGTGTGTGTAGCTAGTCCTTATACTAGGAGATAGTCCTTCACTGTGTGTGTAGCTAGTCCTTATACTAGGAGATAGTCCTTCACTGTGTGTGTAGCTAGTCCTTATACTAGGAGATAGTCCTTCACTGTGTTTGTGTGTAGCTAGTCCTTATACTATGAGATAGTTTTTCACTGTGTGTGTGTGTGTAGCTAGTCCTTATACTAGGAGATAGTCCTTCACTGTGTTTGTGTAGATAGTCCTTCACTGTTTGTATAGCTAGTCCTTATACTAGGAGATAGTCCTTCACTGTGTGTGTGTGTGTTTGTGTGTAGCTAGTCCTTATACTAGGAGATAGTCCTTCACTGTGTGTGTAGCTAGTCCTTATACTAGGAGATAGTCCTTCACTGTGTGTGTGTGTGTTTGTGTGTAGCTAGTCCTTATACTAGGAGATAGTCCTTCACTGTGTTTGTGTAGCTAGTCCTTATACTCGGAGATAGTACTTCACTGTGTGTAGCTAGACCTTATACTAGGAGATAGTCCTTCACTGTGTTTGTGTAGCTAGTCCTTATACTATGAGATAGTTTTTCACTGTGTGTGTGTGTGTAGCTAGTCCTTATACTAGGAGATAGTCCTTCACTGTGTTTGTGTAGATAGTCCTTCACTGTTTGTATAGCTAGTCCTTATACTAGGAGATAGTCCTTCACTGTGTGTGTGTGTGTTTGTGTGTAGCTAGTCCTTATACTAGGAGATAGTCCTTCACTGTGTGTGTAGCTAGTCCTTATACTAGGAGATAGTCCTTCACTGTGTGTGTGTGTGTTTGTGTGTAGCTAGTCCTTATACTAGGAGATAGTCCTTCACTGTGTTTGTGTAGCTAGTCCTTATACTCGGAGATAGTCCTTCACTGTGTGTAGCTAGACCTTATACTAGGAGATAGTCCTTCACTGTGTGTGTAGCTAGTCCTTATACTAGGAGATAGTCCTTCACTGTGTGTGTAGCTAGACCTTATACTAGGAGATAGTCCTTCACTGTGTGTGTAGCTAGTCCTTATACTAGGAGATAGTCCTTCACTGTGTGTGTAGCTAGTCCTTATACTAGGAGATAGTCATTCACTGTGTTTGTGTGTAGCTAGTCCTTATACTAGGAGATAGTTCTTCACTGTGTGTGTGTGTAGCTAGTCCTTATACTAGGAGATAGTCCTCCACTGTGTTTGTGTAGCTAGTCCTCATACTAGGAGATAGTCCTTCACTGTGTTTGTGTGTAGCTAGTCCTTATACTAGGAGATAGTCCTTCACTGTGTGTGTGTGTAGCTAGTCCTTATACTAGGAGATAGTCCTTCACTGTGTTTGTGTGTTGCTAGTCCTTATACTAGGAGATAGTCCTTCACTGTGTGTGTGTAGCTAGTCCTTATACTAGGAGATAGTCCTTCACTGTGTTTGTGTGTAGCTAGTCCTTATACTAGGAGATAGTCCTTCACTGTGTGTGTAGCTAGTCCTTATACTAGGAGATAGTTCTTCACTGTGTGTGTGTAGCTAGTCCTTATACTAGGAGATAGTCCTTCACTGTGTTTGTGTGTAGCTAGTCCTTATACTAGGAGATAGTCCTTCACTGTGTGTGTAGCTAGTCCTTATACTAGGAGATAGTCCTTCACTGTGTTTGTGTGTAGCTAGTCCTTATACTAGGAGATAGTCCTTCACTGTGTGTGTAGCTAGTCCTTATACTAGGAGATAGTCCTTCACTGTGTGTGTAGCTAGTCCTTATACTAGGAGATAGTCCGGAGGAAGTCGGTAGTTGACCTCTCTCTCTCTCTCTCACTTGATTTCTCTCCCTGTCTTTCATTCTCAGTCTCCCAACACTTGATAATCTTCCTAAAATTGTACACTTTCCGTCACTGCAGGGAATACTGAGGGAAAAACACCCCAAATGGGTCTGACTCATGGGCTGTGTGGTGAAAAAGACAAATGAAATTAGATGTTTTTACATGTTGAGAACCACTTTAAAATAAACTGATTAAGGTTTGGTTGCACAGTGTGTGACAGTGTGATTAAGGTTAGGTTGTACAGTGTGTGACAGTGTGATTAAGGTTAGGTTGTACAGTGTGTGACAGTGTGATTAAGGTTAGGTTGTACAGTGTGTGACAGTGTGATTAAGGTTAGGTTGTACAGTGTGTGACAGTGTGATTAAGGTTAGGTTGTACAGTGTGTGACAGTGTGATTAAGGTTAGGTTGTACAGTGTGTGACAGTGTGATTAAGGTTAGGTTGTACAGTGTGTGACAGTGTGATTCAGGTTAGGTTGTACAATGTGTGACAGTGTGATTAAGGTTAGGTTGTACAGTGTGTGACAGTGTGATTAAGGTTAGGTTGTACAGTGTGTGACAGTGTGATTAAGGTTAGGTTGTACAGTGTGTGACAGTGTGATTAAGGTTAGGTTGTACAGTGTGTGACAGTGTGATTAAGGTTAGGTTGTACAGTGTGTGAAAGTGTGATTCAGGATAGGTTGTACAGTGTGTGACAGTGTGATTAAGGTTAGGTTGTATAGTGTGTGACAGTGTGATTAAGGTTTGGTTGTACAGTGTGTGACAGTGTGATTCAGGTTAGGTTGTATAGTGTGTGACAGTGTGATTAAGGTTTGGTTGTACAGTGTGTGACAGTGTGATTCAGGATAGGTTGTACAGTGTGTGACAGTGTGATTCAGGATAGGTTGTACAGTGTGTGACAGTGTGATTAAGGTTTGGTTGTACAGTGTGTGACAGTGTGATTCAGGTTAGGTTGTACAGTGTGTGACAGTGTGATTCAGGTTAGGTTGTACAGTGTGTGACAGTGTGATTAAGGTTTGGTTGTACAGTGTGTGACAGTGTGATTAAGGTTAGGTTGTACAGTGTGTGACAGTGTGATTCAGGATAGGTTGTACAGTGTGTGACAGTGTGATTAAGGTTAGGTTGTACAGTGTGTGACAGTGTGATTAAGGTTAGGTTGTACAGTGTGTGACAGTGTGATTCAGGATAGGTTGTACAGTGTGTGACAGTGTGATTAAGGTTAGGTTGTACAGTGTGTGACAGTGTGATTAAGGTTAGGTTGTACAGTGTGTGACAGTGTGATTAAGGTTAGGTTGTACAGTGTGTGACAGTGTGATTAAGGTTAGGTTGTACAGTGTGATTAAGGTTAGGTTGTACAGTGTGATTAAGGTTAGGTTGTACAGTGTGTGACAGTGTGATTAAGGTTAGGTTGTACAGTGTGTGACAGTGTGATTCAGGATAGGTTGTACAGTGTGTGACAGTGTGATTCAGGTTAGGTTGTACAGTGTGTGACAGTGTGATTAAGGTTAGGTTGTACAGTGTGTGACAGTGTGATTAAGGTTAGGTTGTACAGTGTGTGACAGTGTGATTAAGGATAGGTTGTACAGTGTGTGACAGTGTGATTAAGGTTAGGTTGTACAGTGTGTGACAGTGTGATTAAGGTTAGGTTGTACAGTGTGTGACAGTGTGATTAAGGTTAGGTTGTACAGTGTGTGACAGTGTGATTAAGGTTAGGTTGTACAGTGTGATTAAGGTTAGGTTGTACAGTGTGTGACAGTGTGATTAAGGTTAGGTTGTACAGTGTGTGACAGTGTACTAGTGTTCCACTAGCCAGAGAGACAGTGATGATGTAAAAACCTGCCAGATGCTACACATCCAAAGCTGCGTTTCTTTGTTTCTGGTGGAGAACATTGAGTTCAGCTGATCTGGACATGGAGCTCTCTGAGAGAGGGTGTGTGGATGTGTAATCCTGTCAGGGACACCACAGTGCAGTGAGGGTGTCATTGGGATAAGCCCTTCTGGTGAGTAAACCGGATATAGGGAGTAGGGAGAGAAGGAGGAATCGAGGTAGGGAGGGAGGAGGGAGGGATAGAGGAAGGGAGGGAGGAGGGAGGGATAGAGGAAGGGGGGGAGGAGGGAGGGATAGAGGAAGGGAGGGAGGGAGGGGAGGGATAGAGGAAGGGGGGGAGGAGGGAGGGATAGAGGAAGGGAGGTAGGGAGGTAGGGAGGGATAGAGGAAGGGAGGGGGGAGGGAGGTAGGGAGGGGGGGAGGAGGGATACTCCTTTCCTCAGACTAGAGAAGGGGAGGGAAGGAGGGAGGGTTAGAAAGAAGGGTGGAGGGAGGAGTGAGGGAAGGAAGGAGGGGAGAGAGGAATACTCCTTACCTCACACTAGAGAAGAAGGAAGGGGTGAGGGGCTTTGGATGCTGGCATACACACCCCTCCCTCCCTGCCTCCCTCCCTGCCTCCCTCCCTGCCTCCATCGAAGTAAATCAAGGTGACAGTCTGAGCTGAGAAGAGTTGTCTTGTGAGTTCTACACTGTTAACAAACAGCTTGGCACAGCGAGTACAACACACTCAATTACCTCAGGAAAACACCAAGGATCATCTATTTCCCTAGCCACTGGGTTTAGCACCAAGGGTCATCTATTTCCCTAGCCACTGGGTTTAGCACCAGACACTAGTGTAATGTAAAGGCTACCCATACACCCCACAGATACTGACTACTGAATGTCATGTTTCACTACATCAGACAGAGGACCACAGATACTGACTCCTGAATGTCATGTTTCACTACATCAGACAGAGGCCCACAGATACTGATTACTGAATGTCATGTTTCACTACATCAGACATAGAGGCCCACAGATACTGATTACTGAATGTCATGTTTCACTACATCAGACAGAGGACCACAGATACTGATTACTGAATGTCATGTTTCACTACATCAGACAGAGGACCACAGATACTGATTACTGAATGTCATGTTTCACTACATCAGGCAGAGGCCCACAGATACTGATTACTGAATGTCATGTTTCACTACATCAGACAGAGGCCAACAGATACTGATTACTGAATGTCATGTTTCACTACATCAGACAGAGGACCACAGATACTGATTACTGAATGTCATGTTTCACTACATCAGACAGAGGACCACAGATACTGATTACTGAATGTCATGTTTCACTACAGACAGAGGACCACAGATACTGATTACTGAATGTCATGTTTCACTACATCAGACAGAGGACCACAGATACTGATTACTGAATGTCATGTTTCACTACAGAAATAGGCCCACAGTACTGATTACTGAATGTCATGTTCATTACATCAGACAGAGGACCACAGATACTGATTACTGAATGTCATGTTTCACTACATCAGACAGAGGACCCACAGATTACTGACTCACTGAATGTCATGTTTTCACTACATCAGGCAGAGGGCCACAGATACTGATTAATGAATGTCATGTTCACTACATCAGACAGAGGACCACAGATACTGATTACTGAAGTCATGTTTCATACAGACATAGGCCCACAGATACTGATTACTGAATGTCATGTTTCACTACATCAGACAGAGGACACAGATACTGATTACTGAATGTCTGTTTCACTACATCAGACAGAGGACCACAGATACTGACCTGAATGTCATTGTTACTACATCAGGCAGAGGCCACGATACTGATTACTGAATGTCATGTTTCATAATCAGACAGAGGACCACAGATATGATTAGAATGTATGTTTCACTACATCAGACAGAGGACCACAGATACTGATTACTGAATGTATTTTCACTACAAGACAGAGGCCAAGATACTGATTACTGAATGTATGTTTCACTACATCAGACAGAGGACCACAGATACTGATTACTGAATTCATGTTTCATACATCAGACAGAGGACCACATACTGATACTGAATGTCATGTTTCTACAGAATAGGCCACAGATACTGATACTGAATGTCATGTTTCACTACATCACAGAGGACCACAGATACTGATTACTGAATGTCATTTTCACTACATCAGACAGAGGCCAAGATACTGATTACTGAATGTCATGTTCACTACATCAGACAGAGGACCACAGATACTGACTCTGATGTCAGTTTCACTATCAGGCAGAGCCACAGATATGTTACTGAAGTCAGTTTCACTAATCGACAGAGGCCACATATACTGATTACTGATGTCATGTTTCACTACATCAGACAGAGGACCAAATACTGATCTGAATGTCATTTTCATACATCAGAAGAGGCCAACAGATACTGATTACGAATGTCATGTTTACATAATCAGACAGAGAGGGACAGATATGATTCTGAATGTCATGTTTCATACGACATGGCCCACAGATATGATTACTGAATGCAGTTTACTACATCAGACAGAGGCCACAGATACTGATTACTGAATGTCTGTTTCACTACATCGACAGAGGACCACAGATATGATTACTGAATGTCATATTTCATACATCAGGACAGAGGCCAACAGATACTGATTTACTGAATGCATGTTTCAACATCAGAGAGGACACAGATACTGATTAGAATGTCATGTTTCACTACAGAGAAGGCCCACAGATATGTTACTGATGTCATGTTCACTACATCAGACCCGGGCCCCACAGATCTGATTACTGAATGTCATGTTTCACTACATCAGACAGAGGACCACAGATTGACTACTGAATGTCATGTTGCACTACATCGATAGAGGACACAGATACTATTGACAGTCATGTTCATTCACAGCACGGTGACACAGATACTATTACCTGAATGTCATGGTTAACACTAAGTCAGGACAGAGGAACCACAGATATGATTATGAATGTATGTTTCACTACACAGACAGAGGACCACAGATAACTGATTACTTGAAGTCATGTTCACTACATGACAGAGTGACACAGTACGATTACTGACATGTCATGTTACTACATAGAAGTATAGGACCACAGGACACTGATTACTGAATGTCATGTTTCACTACATCAGACAGAGGCCACAGTTACTGATTACTGAATGTCATGTTTCACACATCAGGAAGAGGCCACAGATACTGATTACTGAATGTCATGTTTCACTACATCAGACAGAGGACCACAGATTACTGATTACTGAATGTCATGTTCACTACATCAGACAGAGGACCACAGATACTGATTACTGAATGTCATGTTTCACTACAGACATAGGCCCACAGATACTGATTACTGAATGTCATGTTTCACTACATCAGGCAGAGGCCCACAGATACTGATTACTGAATGTCATGTTTCACTACAGACAGAGGACCACAGATACTGATTACTGAATGTCATGTTTCACTACATCAGACAGAGGACCACAGATAATGATTACTGAATGTCATGTTTCAATACATCAGACAGAGGACCACAGATACTAATTACTGAATGTCATGTTTCACTACATCAGACAGAGGACCACAGATACTGATTACTGAATGTCATGTTTCACTACATCAGACAGAGGACCACAGATAATGATTACTGAATGTCATGTTTCACTACATCAGACAGAGGACACAGATACTGATTACTGAATGTCATGTTTCACTACATCAGACAGAGGACCACAGATACTGATTACTGAATGTCATGTTTCACTACATCAGACAGAGGACCACAGATACTGATTACTGAATGTCATGTTTCACTACAGACATAGGCCCACAGATACTGATTACTGAATGTCATGTTTCACTACATCAGGCAGAGGCCCACAGATACTGATTACTGAATGTCATGTTTCACTACAGACAGAGGACCACATATACTGATTACTGATGTCATGTTCACTACAGACATAGGCCCACAGATACTGATTACTGAATGTCATGTTTCACTACATCAGACAGAGGCCCACAGATACTGATTACTGAATGTCATGTTTCACTACAGACAGAGGACCACAGATACTGATTACTGAATGTCATGTTTCACTACATCAGACAGAGGACCCACAGATACTGATTACTCAATGTCATGTTCACTACATCAGAACATAGAGACCACAGATACTGATTACTGAATGTCATGTTTCCACTAATCAGACAGAGGTACCACAGTTACGATTACTGAATGTCATTTTACTACATCAGCAGAGGACACAGATACTGATTACTGAGTCTGTTTCACTACATCAGACAAGACCACAGATACTGATTACTGAATGTATGTTTCACTACATCAGACAGAGGACCCACAGATACTGATTACTGAATGTCATGTTTCACTACATCAGACAGAGGACCACAGATACTGATTACTGAATGTCAGTTTCACTACAAGACCAGAGGACCACAGATACTGATTATGAATGTCATGTTTCACACATCGACAAGAGGACCACAGATATGATTACTGAATGTCATGTTTCACTACATAGACAGAGGTACCACAGATACTGATTAGAATGTCATGTTTCAATACATCAACTAGAGGACCAACAATACTGATTACTGAATGTCATGTTTCACTACATCAGACAGAGACCACAGATACTGATTACTGAATGTCATGTTTCACTACATCAGAATAAGGACCACAGAACTGATTACTGAATGTCATGTTTCACCATCAGACAGAGGACCACAGATACTGATTACTGAATGTCATGTTTCACAATCAGACAAGGACCACAGATATGATTACGAATGTCATGTTTCACTACAGACATAGGCCACAGATATGATTACTGAATGTCATTTTCACTACTCAGGCAGGGCCCACAGATACTGGACTTACTGAATGTCATGTTTCAGTACATACAGAGAGGACCACAGATACTGATTACTGAATGTCATGTTTCACTACATCAGACAGAGGACACAGATACTGATTACTGAATGTCATTTTCACTACATCAGACAGAGGACCACAGATACTGATTACTGAATGTCATGTTTCACTACAATCAGCGAGGACCACAGATAATGATACTAATGTCATTTTCATACATCAGACAGAGGACACAGATACTAATTACTGAATGTCATGATTTCACTAATCAGACAGAGGACCACAGATACTAGATTACTGAATGTCATGTTTCACTACATCAGACAGAGGACCACAGATAATGATTACTAATCTGTTTCACTACATCAGACAGAGGAACAATACTGATTACTGAATGTCATGTTTCACACTACACAGACGAGGACCACAGATACTGATTACTGAATGTCATGTTTCATACATCAGACAGAGGACCACAGATACTGATTACTGAATGTCATGTTTCACTACAGACATAGGCCCACAGATAGATACTGAATGTCATGTTTTCACTACAACAGAGGCCCACAGATACTGATTACTGAATGTTGTTTCACTACATCAGACAGAGGCCCACAGATACTGATTACTGAATGTCATGTTTCACTACATCAGACATAGAGGACCACAGATACTGATTTACAGAATGTATGTTTCATACACGACAGAGGACCACAGTTAATGATACTGAATGTCATGTTTCATCTACATCAGACAGAGGACCACAGATACTGATTACTGAATGTCATGTTTCACTACAGACAGAGGACCACAGATACTGATTATGAATGTCATGTTTCCTACATCAGACATAGAGGACCACAGATACTGATTACTGAATGTCATGTTTCCTACATCAGACAGAGGACCACAGATACGATTACTGAATGTCATGTTTCACTACATCAGACATAGAGGACCACATATACTGATTAACGAATGTCATGTTTCACTACATCAGACAGAGGACCACAGATAATGATTACTGAATGTCATGTTTCACTACATCAGACAGAGGACCACAGATAATGATTACTGAATGTCCATGTATTCACTACATCAGACAGTAGAGGAACCACAGACTACTGATTACTGAATGTCCATTTTTCACTACATAGAAAGAGGGACCACAGATTACCACAGTTACTGATTACTGAATGCATGTTTCACTACATCAGACAGAGGACCAGATACTGATTACGAATGTCATGTTTCACTACATCAGACAGAGGACCACAGATACTGATTACTGAATGTCATTTTCATACATCAGACAGAGGACCAAGATACTGATTACTGAATGTCATGTTTCACATCGACAAGGACCACAACTGTTACTGAATGTATGTGTTTCACTACATCAGCAAGAGGCCCACAGATACGATTACTGAATGTCATGTTTCACTACATCAGACAGAGGACCACAGATACTGATTACTGATGTCATGTTCACTACAATCAGACAGAGGACCACAGATACTGATTACTGAATGTCATGTCACTACATCAGATAGAGGCCCCAATACTGATTACGGATGTCATGTTTCACTAATTCAGACATGAGGACCACGATACGTATTACTGAATGTCATGTTTCACTACATCAGACAGAGGACCACAGTTACTGATTACTGAATGTCATGTTTCACTACATCAGACAGAGGCCCCAAAATGATTACTGAATGTCATGTTTCACACACAGAAGAGATCACAGTACACTGATGACAATCGATTTGAATGTTCATCATCAGCAGAGGACCAGAATACTGATTACTGAATGTCATGTTTCACTACATCAGACAGAGGACCACAGATACTGATGATTACTGAATGTCATGTTTCACACAATCAACATGAGACCACGATACTGATACTGAATGTCATGTTTCACTACATCAGACAGAGGACCACAGATACTGATTACATGAATGTCATGTTTCACAATCACACTAGGCCCACAGATATTATACTGAATGTCATGTTTCACTACATCAGACAGAGGACCACAGATACTGATTACTGAATGTCATGTTTCACTACACAGACAGAGGCGAGCAGATACTGATTACTGACTGTCATGTTTCACTACATCAGACAGGACCACATACTGATTACTGAATGTCATGTTCACTACATCAACGAGGTCCACAATACTGACTATGAATGTCATGTTTCACTACTCAGACATAGGACCACAGAGATACTGATTATGAATGTCATGTTTCACTACATAAGGAGACCACAGATAATGATTACTGAATGTCATGTTTCCACATAACAGACAGGGCCCACAGATACTGATTACTATTCATGTTTACTAACACAGAGCATAGACTCAGATTATGTTTACTGAATGTCAAGTTTCATACCACAGTACATTACGACACAGATACTATTACTGAAGTCATGTTTCACAATACGATACGGGGATCCCAACAATGATATACTGATATGTCATTTTCACTACATCAGAAGAGGACCACAGATACTGATTACTGAATGTATGTTTCACTACATCAGCAAGGCACCACAGATACTGTTACTGAATGTCATGTTTCACTACATCAGACAGAGGACCACAGATACTGATTACTGAATGTCATGTTTCACTACATCAGACAGAGGACCACAGATACTGATTACTGAATGTCATGTTTCACTACATCAGACAAGAGGACCACAGATACTGATTACTGAATGTCATGTTTCATACATCAGAAGTAGGACCACAGATACTGATTACTGAATGTCATGTTTCACTACATCAGGCAGAGGACCACAGATACTGATTACTGAATGTCATGTTTCACTACATCAGAAGTAGAGGACCACTGATACTGATTACTGAATGTCATGTTTCACTACATCAGACAGAGGACCACAGATACTGATTACTGAATGTCATGTTTCACTACATCAGACAGAGGACCACAGATACTGATTACATACACACAGGCAAAGACCCAATGGACTACACACACCACTCACGCACATGCACACACACACACACACACGTACACACACTAAGACCCAATGGACCACACAATTCGATCAGGGCTTCAGTACACTGACAATCCCTCTCCCTGGGAGAGACAAGAAGATACGCTTTAGAAGACTCAAACTTGAAAAACAGTTGGGGTTTTTCTACCACAGACACCACTGCAATGTACTGCTCTTAAGTCCTACTGCAGCAGATTGATATAATGTTCCACAATGAAACTTGGGATGATGCAGACTTGGTGTAAAGCAGAGTTGAGAGTGACTGGCTGTGTTTTAATAAAGAATGGAAGGTAGCAGTTTGAGAGTGACTGGCTGTGTTTTAATAAAGAAGGGAAGGTAGCAGAGTTGAGAGTGACTGCCCTGTGTTTTTCTACAGAAGGGAAGGTAGCAGAGTTGAGAGTGACTGGCTGTGTTTTTCTACAGAAGGGAAGGTAGCAGAGTTGAGAGTGACTGGCTGTGTTTTAATAAAGAAGGGAAAGGTAGCAGAGTTGAGAGTGACTGGCTGTGTTTTTAATAAAGAATGGAGGTAGCAGAGTTGAAAGAGTGACTGGCTGTGTTTTAATAAAGAAGGGAAGGTAGCAGAGTTGAGAGTGACTGGCTGTGTTTTTCTACAGAAGGGAAAGTAGAAGAGTTGAGAGTGACTGCCCTGTGTTTTTCTACAGAATGGAAGGTTGCAGAGTTGAGAGTGACTGGCTGTGTTTTAATAAAGAAGGGAAGGTAGCAGAGTTGAGAGTGACTGGCTGTGTTTTAATAAAGCAGGGAAGGTAGCAGAGTTGAGAGTGACTGGCTGTGTTTTTCTACAGAAGGGAAGGTAGAAGAGTTGAGAGTGACTGGCTGTGTTTTAATGAAGAAGGGAAGGTAGCAGAGTTGAGAGTGACTGGCTGTGTTTTAATAAAGAAGGGAAGGTAGCAGAGTTGAGAGTGACTGGCTGTGTTTTAATAAAGAAGGGAAGGTAGCAGAGTTGAGAGTGACTGGCTGTGTTTTTCTACAGAAGGGAAAGTAGAAGAGTTGAGAGTGACTGCCCTGTGTTTTTCTACAGAAGGGAAGGTAGCAGAGTTGAGAGTGACTGGCTGTGTTTTTCTACAGAAGGGAAGGTAGCAGAGTTGAGAGTGACTGGCTGTTTTTTTAATAAAGAAGGAAGGTAGCAGAGTTGAGAGTGACTGGCTGTGTTTTTCTACAGAAGGGAAAGTAGAAGAGGTGAGAGTGACTGGCCTGTGTTTTTCTACAGAAGGGAAGGTAGCAGAGTTGAGAGTGACTGGCTGTGTTTTTCTACAGAAGGGAAGGTAGCAGAGTTGAGAGTGACTGGCTGTGTTTTAATAAAGAAGGGAAGGTAGCAGAGTTGAGAGTGACTGGCTGTGTTTTAATAAAGAAGGGAAGGTAGCAGAGTTGAGAGTGACTGGCTGTGTTTTAATAAGAAGGGGAAGGTGCAGAGTTGAGAGTGACTGGCCTGTGTTTTTCTACAGAAGGGAAAGTAGCAGAGTTGAGAGTGACTGGCTGTGTTTTTCTACAGAAGGGAAGGTAGCAGAGTTGAGAGTGACTGGCTGTGTTTTTCTACAGAGGGGAAGGTAGCAGAGTTGAGAGTGACTGGCTGTGTTTTAATAAAGAAGGGAAGGTAGCAGAGTTGAGAGTGACTGGCTGTGTTTTAATAAAGAAGGGAAGGTAGCAGAGTTGAGAGTGACTGGCTGTGTTTTAATAAAGAAGGGAAGGTAGCAGAGTTGAGAGTGACTGGCTGTGTTTTTCTACAGAAGGGAAGGTAGCAGAGTTGAGAGTGACTGGCTGTGTTTTCTACAGAAGGGAAGGTAGCAGAGTTGAGAGTGACTGGCTGTGTTTTTCTACAGAAGGGAAGGTAGCAGAGTTGAGAGTGACTGGCTGTGTTTTTCTACAGAAGGGAAGGTAGCAGAGTTGAGAGTGACTGGCTGTGTTTTAATAAAGAAGGGAAGGTAGCAGAGTTGAGAGTGACTGGCTGTGTTTTAATAAAGAAGGGAAGGTAGCAGAGTTGAGAGTGACTGGCTGTGTTTTATACAGAAGGGAAGGTAGCAGAGTTGAGAGTGACTGGCTGTGTTTTTAAGATGGAAGGTAGACAGAGTTGAGAGTGACTGGCTGTGTTTTTCTACAGAAGGGAAGGGTAGCAGAGTTGAGAGTGACCTGGCTGTGTTTTAAATAAAGAAGGGAAGGGTAGCAGAGTTGAGAGTGACTGGCTGTGTTTTAATAAAGAAGGGAAGGTAGCAGAGTTGAGAGTGACTGGGCTGGTTTTTTATACAGAAGGGAAGGGTAGCAGAGTTGAGAGTGACTGGATGTTGTTTTTCTACAAGAAGGAAGGTAGCAGAGTTGAGAGTGACTGCCCTGTGTTTTTTCTACAGAAGGGAAGGTAGCAGAGTTGAGAGTGACTGGCTTGTGTTTTTAAAATTAAAGAAGGGGAAGGTAGCAGAGACAAGACAGAGAGGAGGACTGTCCTGTGTTTTAATACAGAGGGAAGGTAGCAGAGACAAGACAGAGAGGTGGACTGTCTGTGTTTTAATATATAAGGGAAGGTAGCAGAGACAGACAGAGAGGAGGACTGCCCTGTGTTTTAATACAGAAGGGAAGGTTAGCAGAGACAGACAGAGAGGTGGACTGTCCTGTGTTTTAATACAGAAGGGAAGGTAGCAGAGACAGACAGAGAGGTGGACTGCCCTGTGTTTTTAAAATACAGAACAGGGAAGGTATGCAGAGACAGACAGAGGGAGGTGGACTGCCCTGTGTTTTAATACAGAAGGGAAGGTAGCAGAGACAGACAGAGAGGTGGACTGCCCTGTGTTTTAATACAGAAGGGAGGTAGCAGAGAAGAAACAGAGAGGTGGACTGACCTGTGTTTATTACAGAAGGGAAGGTAGCAGAGAAAAACAGAGAGGTGGACTGTCCTGTGTTTCTCTACAGAAGGGAAGGTAGCAGAGAAAACAGAGAGGTGGACTGTCCTGTGTTTCTCTACAGAAGGGAAGGTAGCAGAGAAGACAGAGAGGTGGACTGCCCTGTGTTTTAATACAGAAGGGAAGGTAGCAGAGAAAGACAGAGAGGTGGACTGCCCTGTGTTTTAATACAGAAGGGAAGGTAGCAGAGAAAAACAGAGAGGTGGACTGTCCTGTGTTTCTCTACAGAAGGGAAGGTAGCAGAGACAGACAGAGAGGTGGACTGCCCTGTGTTTTAATACAGAAGGGAAGGTAGCAGAGACAGACAGAGAGGGTGGACTGCCCTGTGTTTTTTAATACAGAAGGGAAGGTAGCAGAGACAGACCAGAGAGGTGGACTGCCCTGTGTTTTAATACAGAAGGGAAGGTAGCAGAGGACAGACAGAGAGGTGGACTGCCCTGTGTTTTAATACAGAACGGGAAGGTAGCAGAGACAGACAGAGAGGTTGGACTGTCCTGTGTTTTAATACAGAAGGGAAGGTAGCAGAGACAGACAGAGAGGTGGGACTGCCCTGTGTTTTAATACAGAAGGGAAGATAGCGAGACAGACAGAGAGGTGGACTGTTCTGTGTTTTAATACAGAAGGGAAGGTAGCAGAGACCAGACAGAGAGGTGGACTGTCCCGGGTGTTTTTAATACAGAAGGGAAGGTAGCAGAGACAGACAGAGAGGTGGACTACCCTGTGTTTTAATACAGAAGGGACGGTAGCAGAGAAAAACAGAGAGGTGGACTGTCCTGTGTTTCTCTACAGAAGGGAAGGTAGCAGAGAAAAACAGAGAGGTGGACTGTCCTGTGTTTCTCTACAGAAGGGAAGGTAGCAGAGACAGACAGAGAGGTGGACTGCCCTGTGTTTTAATACAGAAGGGAAGATAGCAGAGACAGACAGAGAGGTGGACTGTTCTGTGTTTATCTACAGAAGGGAAGGTAGCAGAGACAGACAGAGAGGTGGACTGCTCTGTGTTTTAATACAGAAGGGACGGTAGCAGAGACAGACAGAGAGGTGGACTGTCCTGTGTTTTAATACAGAAGGGAAGGTAGCAGAGACAGACAGAGAGGTGGACTGCCCTGTGTTTTAATACAGAAGGGAAGGTAGCAGAGACAGACAGAGAGGTGGACTGCCCTGTGTTTTAATACAGAAGGGAAGGTAGCAGAGACAGACAGAGAGGTGGACTGTCCTGTGTTTTAATACAGAAGGGAAGGTAGCAGAGACAGACAGAGAGGTGGACTGTCCTGTGTTTTAATACAGAAGGGAAGGTAGCAGAGACAGACAGAGAGGTGGACTGTCCTGTGTTTCTCTACAGAAGGGAAGGTAGCAGAGAAAAACAGAGAGGTGGACTGTCCTGTGTTTTAATACAGAAGGGAAGGTAGCAGAGACAGACAGAGAGGTGGACTGTCCTGTGTTTTAATACAGAAGGGAAGGTAGCAGAGACAGACAGAGAGGTGGACTGCCCTGTGTTTTAATACAGAAGGGAAGGTAGCAGAGACAGACAGAGAGGTGGACTGCCCTGTGTTTTAATACAGAAGGGAAGGTAGCAGAGACAGACAGAGAGGTGGACTGTCCTGTGTTTTAATACAGAAGGGAAGGTAGCAGAGACAGACAGAGAGGTGGACTGCCCTGTGTTTCTCTACAGAAGGGAAGGTAGTAGAGACAGACAGAGAGGTGGACTGTCCTGTGTTTTAATACAGAAGGGAAGGTAGCAGAGACAGACAGAGAGGTGGACTGTCCTGTGTTTTAATACAGAAGGGAAGGTAGCAGAGACAGACAGAGAGGTGGACTGTCCTGTGTTTCTCTACAGAAGGGAAGGTAGCAGAGACAGACAGAGAGGTGGACTGCCCTGTGTTTTAATACAGAAGGGAAGGTAGCAGAGACAGACAGAGAGGTGGACTGCCTTGCACTGAGAAGTTAAACAGCAGTAGTTAATAAGCAACCCTGCTCCTGGAGAGCTAGCTAGGTGGTTCAGACTTTCTCTTGTAGTTCACACTAACTGCTCTTGAGTGCTACTGCACCAAATTATATATATTGTTTTGAAACGGAAGACTTGGGAAACGCATAGCTGAGAGAGTGTGTGAGAGAAGAATGGAATTAATCAACATTCAGAGACTGAGGTGGTAACCTAGCATGGAAAGGCACTAGGAGACCCAATATTCACACCAGCATACCCCGTAGAATGAAGCAATATATTCACACCAGCATACCCTGTAGAATGAAGCAATATATTCACACCAGCATACCCCGTAGAATGAAGCAATATAGTCACACTAGCATACCCTGTAGAATTAAGCAATATATTCACACTAGCATACCCTGTAGAATTAAGCAATATATTCACACTAGCATACCCTGTAGAATTAAGCAATATATTCACACTAGCATACCCCGTAGAATGAAGCAATATATTCACACTAGCATACCCTGTAGAATTAAGCAATATATTCACACTAGCATACCCTGTAGAATTAAGCAATATATTCACACTAGCATACCCTGTAGAATTAAGCAATATATTCACACTAGCATACCCTGTAGAATGAAGCAATATATTCACACCAGCATACCCCGTAGAATATAATATGCCATTTAGCAGACGCTTTTATCCAAAGAGACTTACAGTGATGCGTGCATACATTTTTGTGTATGGGTGGTCCCGGGGATCGAACCCACTACCCTGGCGTTACAAGCGCCGTGCTCTACCAGCTGAGCTATAGAGGACCACCCAATGAAGCAATATATTCACACCAGCATACCGCGTAGAATGAAGCAATATGTTCACACCAGCATACCCCGTAGAATGAAGCAATATGTTCACACCAGCATACCCCGTAGAATGAAGCAATATATTCACACTAGCATACCCTGTAGAATTAAGCAATAGCAGTATGGACAGAACTTAGTTGACAGTAAATAAGTTGTGTCAGAGTGGTAGTGTGGTAGAGTGGTAGGGTGGTAGTGTGGTAGGGTGGTAGGGTGGTAGGGTGGTAAAGTGGTAGGGTGGTAAAGTGTAGGTTGGTAGGGTGGTAGGGTGGTAGGGTGGTAAAGTGGTAAAGTGGTAGGGTGGTAAAGTGGTAGGGTGGTAGGGTGGTAGAGTGGTAGTGTGGTAGGGTGGTAGGTGTGGTAGGGGGGTTGGGTGGGTGGTAGTGTGGTAGGGTGGTGTAAAGTGGTAGGGTGGTAAAGGGGGTAGGATGGTGGTGGGTGGTGGGTGGGGGTGGTTAGTGTGGTGGGTTGTGTGTGGTGGTGTTTTGTGGGGTGTGGGTGTAAGTTTTGGGTGGTAAATTGGGTGTGGGGTTTGGGTGGGTGTAAGTTTTTAAAGTGGTAGGGTGTGTAAAGTGGTAGGGTGGTAGGGTGGTAGAGTGGTAGTGTGGTAGGGTGGTAGGGTGGTAGTGTGGTAGGGTGGTCACAGTCACTCACCTTGCCTCCTTTGTCTGCACTGCGCTCTGAACTGTAGAGCTGCACGCAACAGGGAGGCAGAGAGGAGAGGAGAGGAGAGGAGAGGAGAGGGGGGGCGGAGAGGAGGGGAGGAGAGGAGAAGGAAGGAGAGAAGGAGGGGAGCGGGGGGGGCAGGAGGCAAAGCTTTGGTTAGAGACAGGTGGGAGAGCAGGGACTGTTTGGAAAATAACCAGACAGTACTAAGGTTAAAGGAAATAACCAGACATTACTAAGGTTAAAGGAAACTAACCAGACAGTACTAATGTGTTAAAGGAAATAACCAGACCTAGGCTAAGGTTAAAAGGAAATAACCAGACAGTACGAGTTAAAGGAAATAACCAACGACAGTACTAAAGGTTAAAGGACATAACCAGACAGTACTAAGGTTAAAGGAAATAACCCAGACAGTACCTAAGGGTTAAGGAAAATAACCAGGACATTAACTAAGGTTCAAGGAAATAAACCATACAGTACTAAGGTTAAATGGAAAAAACCAGACAGTACTAAGGTTAAAGGAAATAACCAGACAGTACTAAGGTTAAAGGAAATAACCAGACAGTACTAAGGTTAAAGGAAATAACCAGACAGTACTAAGGTTAAAGGAATAACCAACATACTAAGGTTAAAGGAAATAACCAGACAGTACTAAGGTTTAAAGGAATAACCAGACAGTACTAAGGTTAAAGGAAAAACAGAACAGTACTAAGGTTAAAGGAATAACCAGACAGTACTAAGTAAGGAAATAACCAGGACAGTACTAAGGGTTAAAGGAAATAACCAGACAGTACTAAGGTTAAAGGAAATAACCAGACAGTACTAAGGTTAAAGGAAATAACCAGACAGTACTAAGGTTAAAGGAAATAACCAGACAGTACTAAGGTTAAAGGAAATAACCAGACAGTACTAAAGTTAAAGGAAATAACCAGACAGTACTAAGGTTAAAGGAAATAACCAGACAGTACTAAGGTTAAAGGAAATAACCAGACAGTACTAAGGTTAAAGGAAATAACCAGACAGTACTAAGGTTAAAGGAAATAACCAGACAGTACTAAGACAGTACTAAGTTAAAGGAAATAACCAGACAGTACTAAGGTTAAAGGAAATAACCAGACAGTACTAAGGTTAAAGGAAATAACCAGACAGTACTAAGGTTAAAGGAAATAACCAGACAGTACTAAGGTTAAAGGAAATAACCAGACAGTACTAAGGTTAAAGGAAATAACCAGACAGTACTAAGGTTAAAGGAAATAACCAGACAGTACTAAGGTTAAAAGGAAAATAACCAGACGAAATAAGGTTAAGGAAATAACCAGACAGTACTAAGGTTAAAGGAAATAACCAGACAGTAAAAGGTTTAAAAGGGAATAACCAGACAGTACTAAGGTTAAAGGAATAACCAGACAGAAACTAAGGTTAAAGGAAATAACCAGACAGTACTAAGGTTAAGGAAATAACCAGACAGTCCTAAGGTTTAAAAAGGAAATAACCGAAGTACTAAGGAAAGGAAATAACCAGACAGTACTAAGGTTAAAGGAAAATAACCAGACAGTCTAAGGTTAAAGAAATAACCAGACAGTACTAGGTTAAAGGAAATAACCAGACAGTACTAAGGTTAAAGGGAAAATAACCAACAGTACTAAGGGTTTAAAAGGGAAAATAACCGACAGTACTAGGTTAAAGGGAAAATAACCAGACAGTACTAAGGTTAAAGGAAATAACCAGACAGTACTAAGGTTAAAGGAAATAACCAGACAGTACTAAGGTTAAAGGAAATAACCAGACAGTACTAAGGTTAAACGCAGGGTTCGTACAGACAGTGGCAAGTCAAATTCAAGGACTTTTTCAAAGACAAATTCAAGACAAATTCAAATTCAAGCACTCATATTTATTTTCAAGAACCATCAATTTGCAATAGTTCCTATTATGCAATTGTTTCTAGTCGCCACCAGATGGCAGTAGAACACCATAACTAACTTACTATTCATCACCATCTTACAAGTTCTACTCAATAATACGTGTTTCACACTTATTGACTACATACATGAGTGGTAGGTCAGTACTGATGATGTTGACTGATTTCCTTATATGAATTGTAACTCAGTAAAATTTTTGAAATGGTTGTATTTATATTTTTGTTCAGTGTACATGATAATAATATTAAATTGTCTTTCTATTTAAATTGCCTTTATATTTCACTTAAATGTTAGGTTCCACAGGCTGTCCCAACACATAACGACATGAAAGTTAATTCTGACAGTGTAAAAGGCCCTTAGTTGACACTAAAATGTTGTAATCTATACACATTTGAAGAGCAACAAGTTACTATGTTTGATATGATTCTCTCAGGGGACCCTATTTAAATTTTAGGGGACCCACATGGGTTCCGGACCCCAGGTTTGGGAACCACCGTACTACTAACCTCTCTCCCTGCTTGCTTCAATGCTTCCTCTCTCTGAGTATCTCATTTTCCTCCTTCATTGCAGCCTGAATCACCACTGTCTGTCTCACTACTCACCGTAAAGAAAATGTATTTTGTTATGAGAACTTATATCTTTTGATTATAGCTAGCTTAATTTCAGTCAACTGCTCCTGCTGAGGTCAGGATCCGTTCAACGTTAGCTTCTAACTTCATCTTTCTAACCAGCTAGTTATAGCTAGCTAACCTGGCTAACAGCCAAAGCCCTTGAGCTACCTAGCTAGCTAGACATCTGACTGAAATATCAGTTTATTATTTACCAGTTGTACACTCATTTATGTTTGGGGGATGTCTGTTGACACGGCAGGAGTCGAGGGATGTTCAAAAAAGGCTGAGGTAGTTTGTTTCTGCCTGGAAATTAAAGGTCCAAGACCAATACATTTTTCTAACATTTTTCATATTAACATATTTTATCATTTTCTGTTCTCCTCTCATTTTAATTCAAGTACTACCTTTCAGAACATTCCTGATTTTCAAGGTATTCCAGTACTTGAATTTCAGAGTGCCAAATTCAAGTATTTTAGGCACCTCAAGCACCTTGTGCGAACCCTGGAAACGGAGCACGGAAGGCACTTCCCGGATGCGTACTCCTTTTGTACATATTTTGAAGCATGCATCAATGCAAGCTTCAACAGAAAGTATTTTACAGAAACACAAAAAACAACGACGGAACATTTCCTGAAATCAATGACTCTGACTTCGGAATGAAATGTTGCCCATTCACATCTCATATATTGCCTGACTACAATATTTTATATCTTGATACGTTAATACATTTATACTGTGATAATTTTAGCATGTTTACTTGCCTACAATACCCACTGTAGTGTGCGCAGATCGCAAGCCCATAGTAAGTCAACAGGGCGAACGTTAACTGGCTAGCTATTACTGTTAGCTAGCTAGCGAGATAGCCACAAAGAATTTACATCTACCTTGCATAACATTAGTTTTAGGTAATTTTAGCATGTTTACTATCTGGTTAGCTAGATTATTACGAGCTAGCTGAGAATTATGAAGTAAAACATTTGCTTTGTGTATATCTCGTTTCGTGTCTGTTGTTGCCATTGTCCTGGCTGGAAGAAGGTTCAGTGAATGGGGGGGTGCAGCGTGAGGTAATACAGTAGGGGGAGTGCTTCTCAAATGTAATGTTTTATGCGAACTCAAGAGAACGTCCTCGGAAAATGCACTCGAAGCATGAGAGTGTGGAGCACGGTAGTACGCACATTGAGAAACACCCACAGTCTTCCAATAAATACTTAATTAGTAGAATCTGCTGTGATACTGCTTTGGCTGCACCCGCATCAACCCTGTAGAGAGTAAGACTGCCTACCAATGGTCTAAATGGAGGGGAATGGAAATGAATGGGAGATAGAGGGAAGGGAGAAGAACTTCACTGGCAAGCATAGCTACTAGACAGGGAGATACAGGATGATAGTGTTATAAACCAAGCTGTACAGAGAAGGGATAGGGTTATTTCACAGAGGATAGGTCTATATATGACTAGGATGATAGTGTTGTAAACCAAGCTGTACGGAGAAGGGATAGGGTTATTTCACAGAGGATAGGTCTATATATGACTAGGATGATAGTGTTGTAAACCAAGCTGTACCTTGTCCACACAGTCATCGAAGAAGGCCAGGCTGGCGTCTTTGTCTGAGACGAAGGAACACTCCTCTATGAACCTGATGAACATCTGAGTCTTGGTCATCAGGGAGTAGAACTTCTGGTGGGACCGGTCTCTGCTTTTCAGGAACCCTACAGAACATTAGAACCATACCCTACAGAACATTAGAACCATATGAGAAACCTATAAAAGATACAGTAGAACTTCCGGTGGGACCGGTCTCTGCTCTTCAGGAACCCTGAAGAGGACGGTTGTGGAGGGAGAAGCAGAACAGAACATGTGTGGTTCACTGCTAGGTATGGCTGGCAAAATAGGTTTAGGGACTTGGAACTTCGACCATGAAGCACGCTGCTTTAGTATTATAATTGTTTAACCTTTATTTAACCAGGTACGTCTTTATTTAACCAGGTACGTCTTTATTTAACCAGATACAGCTTTATTTAACCAGATACAGCTTTATTTAACCAGATACAGCTTTATTTAACCAGATACAGCTTTATTTAACCAGGCAAGTCTTTATTTAACCAGGTAAGTCATTGAGAACACATTCTATTTTACAATAACGACGGATGTACCTTAGTTAGGCACAGCCGTGCAGGTAAGATAACACAGGGCCAATCTAAGGTGCAAAACAGGGAAGTGACTTCCGTAAGTGTTAAACCCAGCTGGGCTGACTAACAGCTGACCTGACTTCCAGCTGACCTAACAGCTGACCTGACTTCCAGCTGACCTAACAGCTGACCTGACTTCCAGCTGACCTAACAGCTGACCTGACTTCCAGCTGACCTAACAGCTGACCTGACTTCCAGCTGACCTAACAGCTGACCTGACTTCCAGCTGACCTAACAGCTGACCTGTGGGACAGACAGGGCCAGGGGGAGTGAGGAGGGTGGATGGCCATTGGCTCACACTGCAGTCATGGAGGCCAAGCTTTGTGTTGTTGTGGGTCCCTACAGTAATACTAACGGACAGCTGATAGATTATCTATGGATACAGATACACACCCACACTTGGCCAAAGGAGAAAGCACATTGTCCCATTACCCATGGCTGCGTGCTCCAGCTCTATCATTACATAACAACACTGCAGAGGTCTCTCTAAACTACTCATCCCTGTTTGTCTGGATCACATTCCTCATATCCAACATGTCCCTTGGATACAGCTAGCATGGCTAGCGTCCACTGGAGACTGCTCACGTCCTTCGCTACAGCTAGCATGGCTAGCGTCCACTGGAGACTGCTCACGTCCTTGGATACAGCTAGCATGGCTAGCGTCCACTGGAGACTGCTCATGTCCTTGGCTACAGCTAGCATGGCTAGCGTCCACTGGAGACTGCTCACGTCCTTCGCTACAGCTAGCATGGCTAGCGTCCACTGGAGACTGCTCACGTCCTTCGCTACAGCTAGCATGGCTAGCGTCCACTGGAGACTGCTCATGTACTTCGCTACAGCTAGCATGGCTAGCGTCCACTGGAGACTGCTCACGTCCTTGGATACAGTTAGCATGGCTAGCGTCCACTGGAGACTGCTCACGTCCTTGGATACAGCTAGCATGGCTAGCATCCACTGGAGACTGCTCACGTCCCTTGGCTACAGCTAGCATGGCTAGCGTCCATTGGAGACTGCTCACGTCCTTCGCTACAGCTAGCATGGCTAGCGTCCACTGGAGACTGCTCACGTCCCTTGGATACAGCTAGCATGACTAGCGTCCACTGGAGACTGCTCACGTCCTTGGATACAGCTAGCATGGCTAGCGTCCACTGGAGACTGCTCACGTCCTTGGATACAGCTAGCATGGCTAGCGTCCACTGGAGACTGCTCATGTCCCTTGGATACAGCTAGCATGGCTAGCGTCCACTGGAGACTGCTCACGTCCTTGACTACAGCTAGCATGGCTAGCGTCCACTGGAGACTGCTCACGTCCTTGGATACAGCTAGCATGGCTAGCGTCCACTGGAGACTGCTCACGTCCTTGGACTACAGCTAGCATGGCTAGCGTCCACTGGAGACTGCTCACGTCCTTGGATACAGCTAGCATGGCTAGCGTCCACTGGAGACTGCTCACGTCCTTGGCTATGGGCTCTGGTCAAAAGTAATACACTAAATAGGGAATAGGGTGTCGTTTGGGATGAAGCCCTTGGCTACGGCTAGCCAGAGCAGTCTTTAACAATAAAGGACTCTCTGACTAGTTATCCACTGGAGACAGCGCAGACTGGATGAGATCACCATCCCAGTCCCAACTCAACTCCATCAGGTGTGGTATTAGCCAGCTTCAACGGGCCCCAGTCCCAAATCAACTCCATCAGGTGTGGTATTAGCCAGCTTCAACGGGCTTCAGTCCCAACTCAACTCCATCAGGTGTGGTATTAGCCAGCTTCAACAGGCCCCAGTCCCAAATCAACTCCATCAGGTGTGGTATTAGCCAGCTTCAACGGGCCCCAGTCCCAACTCAACTCCATCAGGTGTGGTATTAGCCAGCTTCAACGGGCCCCCAGTCCCAACACTCCATCAGGTGTGGGCCAGCTTCAACGGGCTTCAGTCCCAAATCAACTCCATCAGGTGTGGTATTAGCCAGCTTCAACGGGCTTCAGTCCCAAATCAACTCCATCAGGTGTGGTATTAGCCAGCTTCAACAGGCCCCAGTCCCAACTCAACTCCATTAGGTGTGGTATTAGGTGTAGTCCCGTATAGCTCAGTTGGTAGAGCATGGCGTTTGCAACGCCAGGGTTGTGGGTTCGATTCCCACGGGGGGCCAGTATGAAAAATGTATGCACTCACTAACTGTAAGTCGCTCTGGATAAGAGCGTCTGCTAAATGACTAAAATGTATTAGCCAGCTTCAACGGGCCCCAGTCCAGACTCTCTACCGCAGCCTCTGGAGTATAGAACAGCTGCAGCTAGCTAGCGCACACACAGACTCATGCAGACAGGCTGTAGAATAGTGTGTATGGGGAGAGATCCTAGATATATATTCACAGTGTAGAGGTCTATAAGTCTCCATCATCATAATACTGTCAAAGTCAGTGACGTAATGCTAAACTGTGGCTGGGCTTTCTGAACATGGATATTCCCCTTGAATATAAATGACAAATAAATGTGATGTATAGGCCACTATAAAACACAAGCCCCAATGAAAAAGGCCTGCTATAATAGAATCAACAGCTGGCAAATGATGAGCTGTGGTTTACACTGTGATCTCCCACGGCAGCTTCGTTTCAGTCCTATTCCATTGAATGCCATCCCCTCTTCCTAATTATGTGAAGGGTGTGGTGTCGGGTGGATGGGTTTTTACTCCAGCCCTGCTCTAAGGCTGCTGATGAACCAGCTAGTCCTGGCCTTATTCTGATCATATCAGGCTTTTAGTCCAGCCTGGCAGGTCAAACAGTGAGCTGGCGTCAGTAGCCTTCTTAGACGGGGCCTTGGTGATGGGTCTCAGGTAGGAGCTCTCACACACACACACACACACACACACACACACACACACACACACACACACACACACACACACACACACACACACACACACACACACACACACACACACACACACACACACACACACACAAAGCCGGTACTAACCTTGCAGGTCAAAGAGAGAGGAGGCGTCAGTAGCCTTCTCAGACGGGGCCTGGGTGATGGGTCTCAGGTAGGAGCGGTAGCCTTTCAAGATGGCCGCCATGAACCTGAGGAATGCTTCCTGTATCTCCATCTCCAGGCTGTGGAGGCTCTTCCCACAGGCCAGCTCCGTACAGTCATTCATACTCAGCTCCAATAGGCCATCAGGACGCTGCTGACCTAGAGGAAACCAATAGAAAAGAGGGTTATTGGTTCTGCTGACCTAGGGGGAACCAATAGAAAAGAGGGTTATTGGTTCTGCTGACCTAGGGGGAACCAATAGAAAAGAGGGTTGTTGGATCTGCTGACCTAGGGGGAACCAATAGAAAAGAGGGTTATTGGTTCTGCTGACCTAGGGGGAACCAATAGAAAAGAGGGTTATTGGTTCTGCTGACCTAGGGGGAACCAATAGAAAAGAGGGTTGTTGGATCTGCTGACCTAGGGGGAACCAATAGAAAAGAGGGTTGTTGGATCTGCTGACCTAGGGGGAACCAATAGAAAAGAGGGTTATTGGATCTGCTGACCTAGAGGAAACCAATAGAAAATAGGGTTATTGGTTCTGCTGACCTAGGGGGAACCAATAGAAAAGAGGGTTGTTGGATCTGCTGACCTAGGGGGAACCAATAGAAAAGAGGGTTATTGGTTCTGCTGACCTAGGGGGAACCAATAAAAAGAGGGTTGTTGGATCTGCTGACCTAGGGGGAACCAATAGAAAAGAGGGTTATTGATTCTGCTGACCTAGGGGGAACCAATAGAAAAAGAGGGTTGTTGGTATTGCTGACCTAGAGGAAACCAATAGAAAAGAGGGTTGTTGGTATTGCTGACCTGGGGGGGAACCAATAGAAAAGAGGGTTATTGGTTATGCTGACCTGGGGGGAACCAATGGAAAATATGTTTTTTGTTTGCATATCTTATAGGTTTTGTCCCAAATGGCACCCTATTCCTTAAGGTAGTGCACTATATAGGGAACAGGGCGCCATTTGGGACGCATCCCTCATGTAGTTCCATAGATACATAGAGGAAAGCACTCTTAAAAAGATACACTGAGTGTACAAAACATTAGGAACACCTGCTCTTTCCATGACATAGACTGACCAGGTGAATCCAGGTGAAAGATATGATCCCTTATTGATGTCACTTGTTAAATACACTTCAAAATCAGTGTAGATGAAGGGGAGGAGACCGGTTAAAGAATGATTTTTTAAGCAACTCAATATTAGGAAGGTGTTCTTAATGTGTTGTATGCTAGTGCATCCTGTTTAACTACCTGCCACAGTTTAACACAGATGAAAACACAACTTAAAACAAACAGGACTTTCTCTGAATGAAAACTGAGTTCACAACATTTTTGGGTTCTGTTTGGTTGTTGTTGAAGTAGATTTAAAATAACAAAGCACAGAGTTCTATCTCTATTGAAGTTAGTTTTTCTCTAAGCACAAGTCCCTAAAGTTATGGCTCAGCTTGTTACTCTGCCAAGCTGTATCCATGTTCAATATTCCCGGCCTAAACACTAATGCAGTGGCAGGACAGATTTTCAGCCTCACTGAGTCTCCGAATGTACCATTATTCAATTTTTATCTGATTTCTCAATAAGCAGGCAGCAGGTTTACTGACTGGGCTATAAATAACAAAACTGAACTAATGGAGACGAATAGAGCAGGTAGAGAGAGAGAGAGGGGGGAGAGGAGAGAGGAGAGAAAAGAGAGGAGAGAGGGGGGAGAGAGAGAGAGGAGAGAGGAGGAAGAAGCAGAGGGAGAGATAGAGAGAGGAGAGGGAGGGGGGGAGAGGGAGGAGGGGGGAGGGGAAGAGGAGAGAGACGGAGAGGAGAGAAGAGGGGACAGAGCAGATGAGAGGGGAGGCGAGCTGAGGGAGTGAGAGAGAGGGGGGAGGAGAGAGAGCGAGAGAGAGAGAGGGGGAGAGAGAGGAGGGGAGATGAGAGAGTTGGGGAGAGGAGAGAGAAGAGGAGAAAGGGGGGAGAGAGAGGGCGAAACGAGAGAGAGAGAGGGAGGAGAGGGGGGGAGAGAGGAGAGAGAGGGGAGAGAGGGGGGGAGGAGAGGAGAGGAGAGAGGAGAAGGGGGAGAGGGAGAGAGAGGAGAGAGAGGGGGGGAGAGGGGAGAAGAGAGAGGAGAGAGGGGAGAGAGAGGGGAGAGGGGGATGAGGGAGAGACGGGAGAGGAGAGAGGGGGAGAGAGAGAGACGAGGAGGGAAGGGAGAGAGAGAGAGGAGACGAGAGAGAGGGGCGGGAGAAAGAGAGAGGAGAGGAGAGGAGGAGGGAGAGAGAGAGAGAGAGGAGAGAGGAGGGAGAAGAGAGGGGCGAGAGGGGAGAGGGAGAGAGAGAGGAGAGAGGGGGGAGGGAGAGAGAGAGGGGGGAGAGAGAGGAGGGAGGGGAGAGAGAGAGAGAGAGAAGAGAGGAGAGGGGTGCGAGAGGAGGAAAGGGGGAGGAGAGGAGAGAGGGGGAGAGAGAGAGGAGAGAGAGAGGAGAAGAGAGAGGGGGTGAGGAGAGGGAGAGAGGAGAGAGAGGGGGGAGAGAGAGGGATGAGAGGAGAGAGAGGGGGGAGAGGGGGAGAGAGAGAGAGAGGGGGGGAGGAGGAAAAGAGAGAGGAGAAAGGGGGAGGGGAGAGGGACGAGGGGGGAGAGAGAGGAGAGAGAGAGAGGGGGAGAGGGAGAGAGAGAGGAGGAGAGGGGGAGAGGCGAGAGGAGAGAGGAGGAGAGAGAGAGAGGGGGAGAGGAAGAGAGGGGGGGAGAGGAGAGGAGAGAAGAGAGAGAGGGGAGGGGGGGGAGCGGGAGAGAGGGGAGGAGAGAGAGAGGGGGAGAGGGAGAGGGGGGAGGGAGAGAGAGGAGAGACAGAGAGAGGGGGGGAGAGGGAGAGGGAGAGAGAGGGGAAGAGAGAGAGAGAGGAGAGAGAGAGGGGGGGAGAGAGGGGGAGAGAGAGAGGAGAGAGAGAGAGGGGGGAGAGGGAGAGAGAGGAGAGAGAGAGGAGGAAAGGGGGGAGGGGGAGAGAGGGGGGAGAGAGAGGAGAGGGAGAGAGAGAGGGGGAGAGGGAGAGAGAGGAGAGAGAGAGGGGGGAGAGGGAGAGAGAGAGGAGAGAGGGGGGAGAGGGAGAGAGAGAGAGGAGAGGAGAGAGAGAGGGGGAAGAGGGAGAGAGAGGAGAAAGGGGGGAGGGGGAGAGAGAGGAGAGGGAGAGAGAGAGGGGGAGAGGGAGAGGGAGAGAGAGGAATAATGATGTTATACTAACTAGTGGGGTTTTTTACAGAGAAAGAGGAGAGAGGAAGAAGAATGCTACAATACGGTTCTTTAAACAGGCCGACCATCTGTTGGACTTCCTGCACAGTAGACACTGGATAATAGATTCTAAGCTGACTGTAAAGTAGTACTACACCACAGTTACAGCGGTTTATCATATTCATAAGAAGAAGCACAACACCTAAGATTCAAACACATTAGCTTGAAAGAATCTTTCAAAGTCGACCTTGAAAACTAGTTTTATGAAAACGTCTTCTTGATCTAGCTTGGTTGCCAGATATTTTTTTCTGCTGTTGCCAACTCCTTTTGTCATCGTTATAATAAAGGAGCTTGCTAAAGCAGAACCAGAATCACATCTGGCAACTCAGCCTACACTTGACCCAGTGTATTTATTGTGAAACCTTTAGTTCTCCATCCATACAGTACACTACTCACCGTCCACCAGTTCCTGGTAGAGATTGTTCAGCACGTTCATCAGGTTTTTACAGGCTTTCTTTGGCAGGATCTTCCAGGTCAGGGTCCTCTTATCTTCGTTGCTGGAAGATGAAACACACGGTCAGCTCTCCTGAGAGGTGGAACTGGCACAAAACTAACACTGGTGGTGGATAGGGGCAGGAGACCACCCCCGAGACTGGTCGAAATATCGGACTGATCTTAGAGACACAGAACCACAGAAACAGATTGAACTTTGACCCATACGGACAATAGATGCACACATGACTGTAAGTGGCTTTGGATAAAAGCGTCTGCTAAATGGCATATTATTATTATTATTATTATTATACCAACAGTGGCCAAAACCTGACACAATACAGTATAATTTCTATTGTGTTATTGACTGTACGTTGTGTTTACCCCATATGTAACTCTGTGTTGTTGTTTTTATCACACTGCTTTGCTTTAACTTGGCCAGGTCGCAGTTGTAAATGAGAACTTGTTCTCAGCTGGCTTACCTGGTTAAATAAAGGTGAAAAAAAAAAAAAAAAAAAAAAGGCTAACAGTGTAAAAACAACCACTTCCACAGCCCACCTGGAGGAATATACCGTCTCCACTGGGTTACAGCCCACCTGGAGGAATATACTGTCTCCACTGGGTTACAGGCCACCTGGAGGAATATACTGTCTCCACTGGGTTACAGCCCACCTGGAGGAATATACTGTCTCCACTGGGTTACAGACCACCTGGAGGAATATACTGTCTCCACTGGGTTACAGGCCACCTGGAGGAATATACTGTCTCCACTGGGTTACAGCCCACCTGGAGGAATATACTGTCTCCACTGGGTTACAGGCCACCTGGAGGAATATACTGTCTCCACTGGGTTACAGCCCACCTGGAGGAATATACTGTCTCCACTAGGTTACAGCCCACCTGGAGGAATATACTGTCTCCACTGGGTTACAGCCCACCTGGAGGAATATACTGTCTCCACTGGGTTACAGCCCACCTGGAGGAATATACTGTCTCCACTGGGTTACAGCCCATCTGGAGGAATATACTGTCTCCACTGGGTTACAGCCCACCTGGAGGAATATACTGTCTCCACTGGGTTACAGCCCACCTGGAGGAATATACTGTCTCCACTAGGTTACAGCCCACCTGGAGGAATATACTGTCTCCACTGGGTTACAGCCCACCTGGAGGAATATACTGTCTCCACTGGGTTACATCCCACCTGGAGGATTATACTGTCTCCACTGGGGTTACAGCCCACCTGGAGGAATATACTGTCTCCACTGGGTTACAGCCCACCTGGAGGAATATACTGTCTCCACTGGGTTACAGCCCACCTGGAGGAATATACTGTCTCCACTGGGTTACAGCCCACCTGGAGGAATATACTGTCTCCACTGGGTTACATCCCACCTGGAGGAATATACTGTCTCCACTGGGTTACAGCCCACCTGGAGGAATAACTGTCTCCACTGGGGTTACAGCCCCACCTGGAGGAATATACTGTCTCCACTGGGTTACATCCCACCTGGAGGAATATACTGTCCTCCACTGGGTTACAGCCCACCTGGAGGAATATACTGTCTCCACTGGGTTACAGCCCACCTGGAGGAATATACTGTCTCCACTAGGTTTAGCCCACCTGGAGGAATATACTGTCTCCACTGGGTTACAGCCCACCTGGAGGAATATACTGTCTCCACTGGGTTACAGCCCACCTGGAGGAATATACTGTCTCCACTGGGTTACAGCCCACCTGGAGGAATATACTGTCTCCACTGGGTTACAGCCCACCTGGAGGAATATACTGTCTCCACTGGGTTACCGCCCACCTGGAGGAATATACTGTCTCCACTGGGTTACAGCCCACCTGGAGGAATATACTGTCTCCACTGGGTTACAGCCCACCTGGAGGAACATACTGTCTCCACTGGGTTACCGCCCACCTGGAGGAATATACTGTCTCCACTGGGTTACAGCCCACCTGGAGGAACATTACTGTCTCCACTGGGTTACCGCCCCACCTGGAGGAATATACTGTCTCCACTGGGTTACAGCCCACCTGGAGGAATATACTGTCTCCACTGGGTTACAGCCCACCTGGAGGAACATACTGTCTCCACTGGGTTACCGCCCACCTGGAGGAATATACTGTCTCCACTGGGTTACAGCCCACCTGGAGGAATATACTGTCTCCACTGGGTTACAGCCCACCTGGAGGAATATACTGTCTCCACTGGGTTACAGCCCACCTGGAGGAATATACTTGACCCTGTGTTGCTCTCAGCCCTTTAGCTAAGTGGTTGGGGGTCCTTTACTATGGCTGACCCTGTGTTGCTCTCAGCCCTTTAGCTAAGTGGTTGGGGGTCCTTTACTATGGCTGACCCTGTGTTGCTCTCAGTCCTTTAGCTAAGTGGTTGGGGTCCTTTACTATGGTTGACCCTGTGTTGCTCTCAGCCCTTTAGCTAAGTGGTTGGGGGTCCTTTACTATGGCTGACCCTGTGTTGCTCTCAGCCCTTTAGCTAAGTGGTTGGGGTCCTGCACTATGGCTGACCCTGTGTTGCTCTCAGCCCTTTAGCTAAGTGGTTGGGGTCCTTTACTATGGCTGACCCTGTGTTGCTCTCAGCCCTTTAGCTAAGTGGTTGGGGGTCCTTTACTATGGCTGACCCTGAGAATGTACACATTATATGGATAGAAAACAGTCTATTCCATTCTATTCAATCCCATCCCATTCCATTCTAGTACACAACAGGGGGTTGGTAGTCGCCGCAATGCTTACTGGGAGATGGTGTTTGTGTCAGAAGAAGCAGTGCTTACTGGGAGATGGTGTTTGTGTCGAGGTCGACACAGCTGACGTCCAGCGGGGGGTCGTAAAGGTCAAAGTAGCGTGAGTCGACGCCCACGATGAAGGGGCAGGGGGCGGAGAGGACACCTGCCAGGGCCAGCGGGCACAGAGGGATGTACGGACACTGCCAGTGGAACGGGAAGATCATCTGAGGATGAGAGCGAGGGGGAGGAAGGCGGAGGGAGAGAGATGGAGGGAGGGAGGGAGGGAGGTCAAATCAGGAAACTGAACCTTTAAAACTACTGTCAAAACAGAGATATTACCAACACTGCAATACCTTAGCTACTACTAAAAATACTATCAAAACTGCCATAGCTAAATTTAAGTTTTACTATCAAACTGCCATTGCTAATTATTTAAGCTCTACTATCAAACTGCCATTGCTAATTATTTAAGCTCTACTATCAAACTGCCATAGCTAAATATTTAAGCTCTACTATCAAACTGCCATAGCTAATTATTTAAGCTCTACTATCAAACTGCCATAGCTAATTATTTAAGCTACTTACTAAAACCGCAAGCTACTACTAAAAGTCCTATAGTGAAAGTGTTAAACAGCTGATATCTGAGGTACTATAGTAGAAGTGTTAAACAGCTGATATCTGAGGTACTCTAGTGGAAGTGTTAAACAGCTGATATCTGAGGTACTATAGTAGAAGTGTTAAACAGCTGATATCTGAGGTACTCACAGCCACCAGAGCCTCAGTGACACTGGTCAGAACAGCGGGGCGTAGAGAGTGGACCAGGATCTTATGTTCTGTCACAGCAAACACCAGGAGCGTTATAGCATTCTCCGGACCGAGGTTCTGCAGCAGCGTGGAGAAACGACCACCACTGGAACACACCCATAGAAAAGATAAACACACTACATCGCTATCATAACACATACCATAAATTAACCATACCATAACTAATACCATAAATTAACCGTACCATAACTAATACCATAAATTAACCATACCATAACTAATACCATAAATTAACCGTACCATAACTAATACCATAAATTAACCATACCATAACTAATACCATAAATTAACCGTACCATAACTAATACCATAAATTAACCATACCATAACTAATACCATAAATTAACCGTACCATAACTAATACCATAAATTAACCATACCATAAATTAACCATACCATAACTAATACCATAAATTAACCATACCATAACTAATACCATAAATTAACCATACCATAACTAATCCCATAAATTAACCATACCACAACACATGCCATAAAATAATAATACCATAACTAATACCATAAATTAACCATACCATAACTAATACCATAAATTAACCATACCACAACACAAGCCATAAAATAACCATGCCATAACTAATACCATAAATTAACCATACCACAACACATGCCATAAAATAATAATACCATAACTAATACCATAAATTAACCATACCATAACTAATACCATAAATTAACCATACCATAACTAATACCATAAATTAACCATACCACAACACATGCCATAAAATAACCATACCACAACTTATACCATACACTTCACCAGCAGTCACCAAACCTTCGTCCAATTCTTCAAACCAATGTAAAAGGTATGTTTTGGAGTTCCTCAAGGTACTGTTCTCGGACCACTACTGTTCTCATCATGATATACACTTGTTAAATCCACTTCAAATCGGTGTAGATGAAAGGGGAGGAGACAGGTTAAAGACAACTGAGACATGGATTGTGTATGTAAAGCCATTCAGAGGGTGAATGGGCAAGAAAAAAGATTTAAGTGCCTTTGAACGGGGTATGGTAGTAGGTGCCAGGCGCACCGGTTTGTGTCAAGAACTGCAACACTGCTGGAGTTTTTACGCTCAACAATTTCCCGTGTGTATCAAGAATGGTCCACCACCCAAAGGACATGCAGCCAACTTGACACAACTGTGGGAAGCATTGGATTGTAGAGTCCATGCCCCGACAAATTGAGGGCAAAATGGGGGGGGGGGGGGGGTCGCAAGTCAATATTGGGAAGGTGTTCTTAATGTTTTGTACACTCAGTGCATATGATACCTGTCTTACCTGAGTGGTAGAGGGGAGGACACAGGCTGGCTCAACATCAGGCTGTCGTGAGGTGAGAGCTGGGGAATGTCAACACATTACCACAGGTATAGTGTGGTGGGGACAGGTCTGGCACAAAATGGCTGCCGTGCTTCATGCCGCAGGTGGCTGTTATCAAAGACTCCCATATACCAGTACTGTCTCTGTTACCAGAGATACAATGTAAATAACTTTGAGAAAAACACTATTGAAAGAATGATGATTATGATCAAGAGAGAGTCAGACATGGTCTTGTAGTGAACAGAGACACATACTGACAGAAACCACAAACAGCACCATGGACGCCTAAACTCACCTGCACCAGGATCCTGGGCCTCTGGGAGGAGGGGAAGGGCACCTTGTGCATGAAGTGGGAGATGTGCCTGACAGGAAGGAAGGAAGGAAGGAAGGAAGGAGAAGAAGAAGAAGAAGAAGAAGAAGAAGGAGTTACGGGACATGAGGCCAGAAATAACCCTGAGGAGGAGGGGAGCATAATCTGTCATCACGCCGTCTGGGACGGGGTAGATTTATATAGAGTCCTGCCACTACCCTGCCACCTGACCAAAACAATGGCCTGTTGAACTGTCAGTAAACACTTGATCTAAAGATAGTCTCTGGTGTTTATTTAGTGGACTGGACACCCTTTGGAATTGTGTGTCTACAGTACATCTATGTACAAAGTGCCTGGGTATGGTGCCTGTCCTATACAGAGCTGTCAGATAACACAGTCAGTGCCATGCAGGGTAACTGACAACGCTCTCTAGTTATAAAAGGACAGTGGCTCAGCATGGCGCTAGCAACGCCAAGGCCATGGGTTCAAGTGCCGCAGTTGATACCACAAAAAAACGTCTGCTGTGAACTATATCATTCACACGGTGCTCACTTCTCGATGGGCAGGGCGTGAGGTCCAGAGATGGAGTACCGATAGAGGAAGGTGAGGAACTTGCGGAAGGCGTCAAAGAAGGGCCAGTGAGACAGCAGACAGATACACTTGTTGGTGTGTACAGCCCTGGGCCCCAGGGCTGGGGATGAGGCTGGGGAAGAGGGCCCGTGGTCCAGCCCCTTCAGACCCAGCTGAGAGCGCTGCTGGTCGGTCAGACAGTCCTGGGAGTAGAGCTCGTAGAACTGGATGGCTGCGCCGTACACCTGAGATGAGGAAACACACAGCTCCACGTTAGGAAGGATCCATTAGTACATCGATATAGGGGGGCACATGTGTATCTATTGCCATACAGCTGACTGGAACCACATTATGTGAGTGGAGTGGCGTGAGGAGCGGAGCGTGCCCTGTTTGACTGGAGCGCGGAGCGAGTTTCCCCGAAGGCTGGAGCGTCAGCGTTCTCGCCCGCTCCAATTTCGCTCCAGTACCGCTCCAGTAGCGCTCACTTCATGCTGTCTTTACCTGACCTTGTACCAGCTAGGTTACCCTCTCTCTGTCTTTACCCTCTCTGTCTTTACCCTCTCTCTGTCTTTACCCTCTCTGTCTTTACCCTCTCTCTGTCTTTATCCTCTCTCTGTCTTTACCCTCTCTGTCTTTACCCTCTCTCTGTCTTTACCCTCTCTCTCTGGCTTTACCCTCTCTCTGTCTTTACCCTCTCTCTCTGTCTTTACCCTCTCTCTCTGTCTTTACCCTCTCTCTGTCTTTACCCTCTCTCTGTCTTTACCCTCTCTCTGTCTTTACCCTCTCTCTGTCTTTACCCTCTCTCTGTCTTTACCCTCTCTCTGTCTTTACCCTCTCTCTCTGTCTTTACCCTCTCTGTCTTTACCCTCTCTCTGTCTTTACCCTCTCTCTGTCTTTACCCCCTCTCTGTCTTTATCCTCTCTCTGTCTTTACCCTCTCTCTGTCTTTACCCTCTCTCTGTCTTTACCCTCTCTCTGCACATTCTAAATCTAACCTAAATCCTAGAGACAAACACAGAGCAGTTTGATTCCTGGAAACCCAGTACTATGCTCTTAGAGACAGATCACATAACATCAGAATATTCAGGCTTTTCTGATCTCCTGCTGTATTTAGGTCATGCTCTAACTTTTCCCAGAAGGGGGTATAGTCTAGTACAGAACAGCCTTCTGTCAGAAGGGGGTATAGTCTAGTACAGAACAGCCTCCTGCCAGAAGGGGGTATAGTCTAGTACAGAACAGCCTTCTGTCAGAAGGGGGTATAGTCTAGTACAGAACAGCCTTCTGTCAGAAGGGGGTATAGTCTAGTACAGAACAGCCTCCTGCCAGAAGGGGGTATAGTCTAGTACAGAACAGCCTTCTGTCATTGTAGCTTTTGTCGCGGGTCCTAATCGGTTGGAGTGTGTGTGTGTATGTCTGTGTTGGTCGGCAGGCAGTATGTCTGTGTGTACAGTATGCACTGTCCTGTATGTTTAAGAGTGTACATACTTAGTGTTAGTAGATGTCTGTGTCAGCGGCTGACATGCTCAGTTTAAAGGGAAGCCTGCTCTGTGTGCAGAATGAGAGGTAGTATGCCAGGACCTCCTGCCTGTCTCTATGACCTTGCCCAGGAAAACACAGGTCACCTACCATACACACACACACACACACACACACACACACACACACACACCCCACACTCTCAGAAACACACACCCACGGTTGGGTCACCCAAGAGTCAGACAGAACCAAACAGAGGGGTTGCACGCCAGCCGTCGTTTTGACCCCCTGGTCGCTTCGTGTTTAGCTTTAAGCCCGGCGCT